TTACATTTTTTTGTCATTATATAGTGTCCATGTTTATGCTCCAACGTAACAAGGTAATTAGTTTTATTTCTTCTCTTTTTTTAAACTTATTATTACTATTATTATTTCTTCTGCTAAAAATTTGGTCAATTCTCAGGTTGATCTCACCTAATGTCTTTAAAGGATATACGATATATTTTAAGAAATAGAATGGTGATGATTTTTAAATTAAGCCTATAAGATTTTCTATTACATAAATAAATTAAAAGTTAAATTAGTTTTGACCCCATTATTTTTCAGATCCTTTGTTTTAACTAATGTATGTGTATCTATCTACTCTATGTTAATTTCCAATTTGATTTACCAAATAAAGCCGGATAAATACTCTTACTTTCTAATGGAAATTTATCCTCAAAAGCATAATTAGCCAAATACTTTTTTTTAAGTGTCATTCCCCATGAATAATAAGTGACGCTTGCTTTAACAAGCTCACAATTTATTGCATTAAAATATGTTTTTTTTGAGGAATATAATCAGGCCAAACTATGAATTTAATTCAGAGGTGTACAGATCACGATTTAAGTTTGCTCATTTTATCCTCAACAATAACTACTAGCCTACTAAGAAAAATGTTTTTGTTTATTACTTATTATCATTATTCATCATTAATACGAAATCTCATCTCAATATTAAATTTAGGGATTTTTTTTAACCCATGCCAAAATATTCAATATCACAATGAAATTAGCAATGAAGTAGATTGACAATTTCAATTTTTTTATAGATATAGTTAGGAACGTAACAATAATACCTAATCATCTCAAGACTCTGTGCGAAGTAGATAAAATAACTTCAACAGTTTTGGTTCAAGTTAGATCTTGACTGTAAATCAAACCAAATTGAGTGCATTGATTTCCTTTTCCTTTTTTTCTATAAAAGAAAAATCATGAAAACTTACATCTTGACAATTTCAGGCTACACAAATAATCTTCAATGAATTTGTACAACCTCAAAGTGTTAGGGTCCAAAGTCCTTGTAATGTGATTAAAGTTTTAAAATAAAGTTTCTTACGCACAATACGCTTATAAAAAGTAATGAATTCTCGCTTCTTTGTAGATATGTATTTTTTTTAATCCACCATTTCAGTAGCATTACATAAGTTTGTCAATTTTTCTTGAACCCCAAATGGACGTATTGATTTGTACCCAATGCCACTCACTCTTTGTTTTTCCTATTACTTTTTAATATCAAAATGTGACTATGTTTGCCACAAAAATCTGAAATTACTTGCAGCCCATATTTAGCATATGATTCCAACAACTTTCATTCAATTGACCTTTCTCTCTTTTTTGTTAATATTAAATTTTGACATAGTCTTAAAGTTACAATTTACGTTACGTTGTCAATAATTTTGTTTCATCATAAAAGTCGATTATTTTAATAGCATCTTGTGGAAATACTATGTTTTACTCCGTAATGTTCTAATTTTATTTACAATTGTTTAATGGTAAGGAAACATATTTTTTTTAAAACTGGTAACATGCGGCAAGATGGTTGCTAATTATACTTTTTTTAACACTTTTTTTTAACTAAGCAATCTAGTCTCACGTGCGCTCAATTACAAGAAGTAAAATTAATTATGTTTATTTGGATCATTTATGTGTTGTATGTACAATTGTACAAATATTTCAACCTACGAATTTAAGATTTACTAGCTTCACAAAAATAATGTATGCAATGTATAAAATAATCACGAAATTTGATTCTGAGATAGAACTAAATGTAATATGATTTTCTTGTAGTCGACTACATCATCACTTTTTTCCTTACATTTTATTATAAATCAATAGATAATTTTAAACACCACTACCCAATGTTTCGTCCTAATCATAAAATTCTATTTTGTATTTTATTTGTCAACTACGATGGACTCGATCATCTAAGGCTTACTCATGGTCCATCATCAGTAAGAATATAATTGTAATTTAGTTTTTCAAATGTCATACATACACAAAAAAAAATTTAACCTACAATTTAAAATTTTAATTTTACAACCGCAATACAACGATGTACACAAGGTACATAATGATCATAATATGAGGTTCAATTATAGAATCGACAACAAGACAATATTCAGTATATCTAATTATTTTCATGTATGTTTCATATTTTTTTTATCATGTACATTGAGTTAAAGTGTTCTCTTATAAAAAAACCTCTTCTTTTTCTTCATAAAAAAACACCAAAAGAACTCCCCTTTTGCCCCATAATATTTCGGCCACCCCATTTCCCCCTCGCCTCCCCATAATTCCTTCTCTAAAATAGCAACGTGATAAGACCTCGGGTCTCGGGTATAACAATATATATATATGTGTGTGTGTGTGTGTGTGTGTGTGTATATATATATATATATTTTGGTTCAGGTGAGAATGCAATCTAATGAAAGAAATAAGAATGAATCTGGTGCATTAAATTGGGAGATCTAAGGGTTAGGATTGCATCAAAATTAGGTGCACCAAGATGGTTTGAAAATGCATCATGTCGAAATGCACCATAATCCTTTGAAAATGCACTATCTCAAAATTTGAATGCAGAATGCAATCTGAGCCGCATGATGCATCAGATCCAAAAGCCAGATTTTATTCTTATTTCTTTCACCAAGGTGCATTCTCACTTGAACCAGCCCCTATATATATATATATATATATATATATATATATATATATATATATATATATATATATATATATATATATG